GAATGAAGGATTTGCCAAGAGGGAAGATGGTTGGGTAAAGTTTCAAGTAAGAATTGTTATACCTAGGAAGGAAGAGTTGGTGAGAGAAGCATTGGATAAGACATATAACAGTAAGATCATAGTTCATCCTGGTTTCACTAAAATGTATCAAGATTTGAAAAAGATGTTTTGGTGGCCAAGAATGAAAAGAGAGATTGCTAAACATGTTTCAAAGTGTATAGTCTGTCAAAAAGTAAAAATTGAACATCAAAAACCTTCAAGATTACTTCAATCATTAGACATACCAGAGTGAAAGTGGAAAAATGTAGCCATAAATTTTGTTATAGGTTTACCAAGAACCTAGGAAGGGTATGATACAATTTGGGTAATCGTTGATTGATTACCCAAATCTACTCATTTTCTACCAATTAGAAAAGTTTTAATTACATGGATTAAGATTTATTTAGTTTTATTTTATATAACACTTCCTTTTAATTAGTTTGTACGTATAACTCATTTCTCTAATATTCCTCTCGGTCATTTAAGGGTGAATATCAAGTATTGTGTAACACATTTTCGTTCTTGTGGAACTACTTGAGCTACTTATAGGATAACAGAAGGCCCCTAGCTCGGTATTGTGTGAAGATGCAAAATCAAGATGAGAAATTAGTCCTAATATTGAAGGTGTTGTGGGATTATGTTCTTGGGTTGTTATTGTCTATTAAACGTTGCCCTAAAGGCGCATCCTAATTCCAGTGTTGGGGATTATGTTGATATTGATTTTTAATTTTCTAATGAGGTTATGAGACTAGGCCCTCAAGTGCCTCCCAAGATCAGAGATGATATGGACCGCACTGAGGTAAAGAATAAAATTGCTTCTCTTACTTATATTGATCATCAAAAGCATATGGAAAAGGCTAATATAGGGAATCTAAGGTCTGACTGTTCAAGAGGTTAACATCCTGGCTTGGCAAGGCATAGTGTAGGATCAGACTCAGATCAAATCATGACGCTTGAGTTGGTAGGATAAGTAAAAAGAGTTGCGCTCTGGCTAATAGCTATAGCTTTTGGTCAAGTGGTAAGTTCTCAATCCAACTCTTGGTATTAAAGGCGAGGTCATGGGTTTGAATCCCCATATGACACTTTGCATAAGGCAGGTTGGGAGAGAGGGGTTGTTGTTGGACATGTCAACATCCTTCCTTGGCAATAACTAGTGTGAGGTTGGAGTTAGATTAAACTATGACGCTTGAGCTGGTAGGGGCAAGTACAAAGAGTAACGCCTTAACAGTTATAGCTTTTGGGCTAGTGATAAATGCTCAATCCAACACTGACCTTCTTTTAAAGAACAACGCTCAATTTGCTGAAAGGCTAGAAAAGGATGCATACTTTGGAGGCTAAACTTAGGAGACAGATGTCTTGGTCATAAACCTAAAGAAGGAGAAGGCGCCTTGGGACGTTCGTCTTTTGACCTTGCAATGTGATGCGAAGACTTTCGAGCAGTAAGTTGCTAAATCTCGTGAATAATATAATGTTCTCCATAGGGAATATAATGATATCAATGTGAATTTTGTTGGGGAGGTGTCTCAGGTTTGTAAGAATGCCCTAAACCAGGTGGAGTTGGTCAACTCAGAAGCTGGTCTTTCAGCAATTAATCCCACTAGGTATGTTTAGGATGGACAGATTGCTACGGATGATGAGTCTTCTCTTGGCGGTATCAAAATTTTATGACCTTATGATGAAGAGATTGCATCATGCACTAATGAAGGGGTTGTTCACTGTAGGATAATGATAGAGGTTCAAGTGGTGCTTTTAGATTTAATTTTGCTAATTTTTTTCTCTTTATTTTATTTGTGGTTGGAATGTCAACCTGCTAGATTGATTTATTAAAAACAATTTGCTCTATGTTTAGTGCACTTTTATTTTTCTTCTCAATTTACTTTTGTGATCAATGTGTTTTCTATTTTTATTTCTCTTTTACCTATGTTATTGTTGTGTCTCTTTTGCTAACATTTTTTTAAGTGTTTAACTTACGAAATGAGCATTTGGATTGTTTGTGTTATCATGTTTGGTATAGTTAGTAGATAGGTGTCAAAATGGGCTGAAGTCCGCAGGCCAGTTTGCAAAACCCTATATTTGGTTCTAATTCATTAGGTCTTTTTTGACTCTAACTCACAAAACCTTATAATTTAGAGGGTTGGGAAAAGGCTAACCCGCGAGCCAACCTTTTTCGTTTATTAAAATTTTCATTATCTAAAATATAAAAAAATATATAAATTTAAATATTTATACATATAAAATAAATTATAAACATAACATAAGCAAAAATGAATTTTTCAGCTATTATATGTTTTAATAGAGAATTTCAACTGCGCGTTAGTAAAAATAAAATTTTCTATTGACGTCTAAGCATATTGCATATCTAAATTTGCATTGAAAAATATTGTTGCATGGCGAGAAAATGTCAGTAAAAAAAACTCGTTTTAGTTTGCAAAGAAATTTAACTACAATTCCGTCAAATTTTTTGAAGAAAAATAATTTCGTCAAAAATTTAGATGGAAAATATTTCCGTCGAAAAGTTTCATGGGAGTTTGTAATGGAATTTAACTAAGATTCCATAAAATATTTCAGAAAAATTATTCTATCGAAAATCTCGACAGAAAATAATTTAGTCAAAAATTTTGACTGAAAATAATATCGTCAAAACTTTTTACGGAAAAAAATTGCGACGAAATATTTTACGGAAATGATTTTAGTAGAAAATTTATTACGTCTAACAATTCGATAGAAGATAATTCCATAAACAATTTCAATAGAAAATAATTTCGTAAAAACTTTTAAACAGAAAAAAAAATCCATCTAATTTTTTTAAAGAAAAAAAAATTCGTCAAAATTTTCGATGGAATTGATTTTCGTGAAAAATTTCGACGAATTTTCATAAAAAGTTTCGATAGAAAATAATTCATCAAAAATTTTCGATGGACAAATTTGGTCGAAACATTTTTTACGCAAAAAAATTCCGTCAAAATTTTCCATGGAATTAATTTACATAGAAACTTTTGACGGTGAAGATTCCGTTGAAAATTTTGACAGAATTTAATTCCCGTCAAAATATTACCATGAAATTTTTTTTCCTTCAAAAATTTTAATCACTTATTATGACTCGAATCTTTTTTCGTCTTTATTTTTTAAAGAATTCTCTTTTCATTGAAAATTTTGTCATTGTTTTCGATGAAATATTTCTCGTTAATAATAGATCCTTTTCTAGTAGTAATTGAATATGATAATTTTTTTTGAAAGTATAATTTTGAATGGCTTGTGAGTTGGCCGTAGCCTATAGGGCTTTTAGCGCGTGCAAGCCTTTATTATTGAAAGTCATTTAGATATGTGAGATTTATGGCCCTAACTCATACGGATTAGAGCCTAATGCAACTAATTAATTCATTTTGACAGCTCCATGGGATTCTTGCAGAGATAAGATTTGTATTTGCCTAGTCTTGGAAAGGCGAAGTAGGACATTTGTCTAGTTAGTTTTGGATTTACAAGATAAGACTTTTGTTTGCCTAGTCTGGAATTTGTGAGATAATATTTTTTGTCTCCCTAATCCCGAAATAACGAAATAAAACTTTTGTGAGTTGTCACTTATTTAGAATTGAAGGCATATTTGAGTGGTGAATATTCGTCTTCTTTCATTAATATCATAATTACAGCAATGCAAACAATTTAAGTTAACTGTAATACTTCTTTAATTTGTTGGCGTTTCATGTTCTAAGGATGAGGGATTGATCTAGGTGTTGAAGTGGGTACACTCCATGGTTAGTTTTTCCAATAATACAAAAGGGTCCATTGGAGATGGATGCCGACTTTCTTTGTGATGCATTTCTATGTCCTGTGTGTGTTCTTGGCACAATTGGGCTCCTTTGATTGTATTTTTTTTTTTTTTAAATTGTTTTGTAAAATAATTAAGGAAATAGGTGTTTTTTTATATATTTTTTGAAAGTTAAAAGTAAAATACTAAATAAAAAGTGAGAGGTTATACTTATTATTTTTTTTCTTACTATTAAATCTTAATCTTTGATTTTTGTCACTCTAATGATTATAATTTATTAGGTCACCTTATTAATTAATTATTATTTTTTAATAAATTAACCGTTAGATTGACGAAAATCAACTGTTAAGATTTGATAGTATTAAAAAAAGTAACAAGTATATCATTTTTCAAAAAATAAATAAATTAAAATATGTTTTCTAAATTTGATTCTAATAAAAAAAATAATTACAATTTTTAATTCTATATTTATAAAACAGGTCTTATCAAATAAATTTTTTTATTTTTTTATTCTGAAAATTAAAAAACTGTTTTTCAAAATAGATTTCCAACAAGCCCAATCTCCTACTTCAAAGTTTCCGGGATCAACTTTTTTTGCTTTATGCTACATTGCTACTCCAAACATGGATCGGACCTTGGATTTTCATCTTAATAGTTTATTTTTAATTCGAGCCACAGCTATTTCATACTTTCATCTTCCTCAATAATCTGAATCCTAAATATTTAGCTTAGAGGTTTGAACAGCACAACCTAACATATTTAGGAAAGGAGAAGGAAACTATTTTGTGTGATCCTTAATTATTAAGACACGGTACAACGTTCAAAGTCAAATTACCGATAATTTTGATTCACTAAAAGCTCGATTAAGAATGATATTATTTATTCGAATTTTACTATTAAACATAATTTAATATACAATATCACTAATGCGGTTGATTACTAAAAATAATTTGTACATAGAAACTGTGACAAACTTTTTTAAACCAGAGTGATTATTATTTACATAAAAAGTACATAAAAAATATAAGGAAAGTTATATTACAATATTTTTCCAAGATACAAATTGATTTGATTTGATTTTGATTCGATTTTGATTTACGATAAAAAAAACAATTGTAAGAAATTTTAAGAAAAGAAGAAGAAGTTATCTATCTCTACGAGAAAGGAAAAAAAGGTAGCATTTAAAGCGCAGAACATTAACAGTGTTGTCACTGAACAAGAAGATCGAAACGAAGTCTCTCTCTCTCTCTTGGTGAATAAATAATGCTACTGAGAACGAAGAAGATGGAGCAGCGCTGCACCTTCTCCTGTTGATTTCATGGCCTCCTCCCAGTCCCAGCATCGCTGTGTTTTCGGTATCTCTCTCTCTCTCTCTCTCTCTCTCTCTCTCTCTCGTGGTTTCTTCGGTGCTTTTCAAATTATTATGTGTTTGGGTGCTGATAAATGATGGGTAGTAATCAAAAATCGAAAATTTTGTTAAAAAAATGTCATAATTATCTTCTTCACTTTTTTTTTATATCTCCATATTCCCGTGTTTATTGCAATCTTGAATGTTATTGATTTCAATCAGATTGAAATTTGTGACCTTTGTTTTTTGGGGTTATGATAATTGTTGTGATTCTGTTGTAGTTGGGAATATACCGTATGATGCCACAGAGGAACAGCTTATTGAAATCTGTCAGGAGGTTGGCCCTGTAGTCTCGTTCAGGTAATTTTAGAAAAAGTTAAGCTCTTGTTATTATTTAAGGTTTTTCCTAGATTTTATTATTTGTTACAACAATTCAATTTTTTTTATTTTTTTTTCCAATCTGCGATTAGGGCAATTGTCTCTAGAAACTACAAGTGTCTTTTTTCTCACTGAAAGTTACATGAATTTTATTTATTCTTCTTTAACAATTAAACAATAATTTTTAGTGTCTGTACTAGTTGATAAGTTCCAGTTTGAGAATTTTTCTGAAATTTCCTGAAATTCTCTTTTGCTTCTTTACCTGTGGTTTATTTGGTTTAAGTATAGCCGTCTTCTTTTATCCACAGATTAGTTATTGACAGAGAAACTGGGAAACCAAAAGGTTATGGTTTCTGTGAGTATAAGGATGAAGAGACGGCTTTAAGTGCTCGTCGAAATCTCCAGGGTTATGAAATAAATGGTCGGCAATTACGTGTTGACTTCGCTGAAAATGATAAAGGGACTGATAGAAATAGAGAACAGGTATATTGTTAGAAGAACTTCTTGAAATAGCAACAAGTTATTTTTCCTAAATCTTTGCTTTGTTTTCTTTAAAGAAAGTGCAGTGAATAACCTGAAAAGAAGCTCAAGTCCTAACTATTCATACATACTTATGCTCCCTGAAAGTCATGTATAATGGGAAATGTTTTGTCTCATTAATATTTACTTGTATTTGGATTTATTTTTTCAAACCATAATATTTGATCAATTTAAGACCAATAGGGTAAATGAGTCTTCCTATCACTTCCTTGAGTTGAAGATAACTAGCCATTCTCTCTACACTTCTTTCTCTCACTCTCTCTGGGAATCTTCTTTGCAGTTGTTTATATCCTCTTGTTAATGTCTATGAGGTTAATACTTTGGATTATCTCCTCTCTGCTGAAAGAGCAGACTCATGTTTCCTAATTGGAAATTTTAGTCACTGAAATCATCAAAGAATTTCAATTATGCTGTGTTGATATTGACATTTGATTTGTGCCTAATGTTGATGTAGAAGCAGGCTGGTTTCTGCTAAGAGTTTTGTTTATGATTTCTTAATACACATATTGTCACGGGTTTCAATTTGAGATCTGGCTTGGTACATATAACAATTGACAAATGGTCTTTTACTTGTTAATAACTACTAAATCACCATGGTGCAACAATAATGATAACTTTTATCTATATGTACACACCGGGACATACTGTTATTAGGATATGGTTTCTTTGACCATAAAGAAAAACCAAACAGTATTTATAAATCATGATGGATATTTTTAAGCTTACATAAACTAGATATTTTGTTTTACATTTGTGGTCAAATAAATTAGGCCACCACAACTACTCGATGCTGTTAAGTCTTTAATATTAGGAAAATACTTAAGTGATATGAATACGTTAAAATTCATCATTAATTCAAGACACAATTGCGTTTAGGACAATGTAAAGATTTTGTTTCTTGTTGTCCCCCCACCCCAAACTTTTTCATGCCTGCGTAGGTCAAAAGGAAGGAATCATGTACTACATGCCAGTGTCATCATATGGATTAAAATGATTCTTTTTCCTTTTGCTGCAGGGTCGTGGTGGGCCTGGAATGACAGCAAATGTTGGTTGGTTCTCTATGCTTTCTTTATTCTTACATGTTGTGATAAATTATCTCATACATATAATCATTGGACTGTTGTTTTGGTCCTGTGTTTTCATTTTCTCCTTTTCTGTATTAAAGACCCTCAGAAACAAGGAGGCAGCCCAGCCGTCCATGGAGAAGCTGTTCAACATCAACCTATTGGTCTTCATATTGCCATAACAGCTGCAGCTGTCATGACAGAAGCTCTAGGTGGTGCTCAGTTTGGCATCCAGTCAAATCAAAATGGTTTGCAGAATCAGTCAGCCTTGGCACGCGATCCTTTAACTCTGCATCTGGCCAAAATGTCCAGAAGTCAGCTGACTGAGATTATCTCTGAGCTCAAGGTAACTATCGGGTAAAGCTAACTTCCTGTACCTAGATAAACTTCTCTTGATTTATTTTTTCTTGTTGTGATGACAGGGAATGGCTACACACAACAAGGAACTGGCTCACCAACTGTTGCTTTCAAGGCCACAGTTGCCCAAGGCTCTTTTTCAGGTATGAATATTTTTCCCTTATCAATTCCCTTGTGCATTTATTCAAGCACAACATTCTCTGATGACGAACTCGTCTCTATCTACATGTGCTTGTATGATATAAATGCTCTTTAAGGTAGCCACTAGCCAATTATTCTGACAGAATGCTTGATATCATATTGTGTAATGGGGACAATGCATTAATTTCACCATATGTAACTATGTTGGAGTGAACAAATGAGATAAGAATGATAATAATTAAGATAATCATGTAGTGGAGAACGATTTAAAATCTGACAAAGAGAGGGGTTGATACATTTTCTTATGGCAAAGAAGAATGAATCACTGATACCACCAAGTTTGTTAAGATTGAGATCCTACCTAGGATCGGAAGGGGGTGGGAGAATTGTAAATCGCAGGATCGACTCGGATCGTAAGATCCTACTACCTAAGATACAAAAGTATATACAAATATATATATATTAGGCAACTCAAATCATCGAATTTTTGCAATATTTATCAAAACTTGATTGTCACAATATAATAATATATAGTAATAAAAATAGAAAAACCACAAATCCCATGTTTTCATTATGAATCTTTTTCCAATAATAATACGATTAAGATATATTTCTTGAGCATTCTATATAAGTTTTTATTTTTTATTTATTTATTTTTAATTATTTTTTTAAATACAAAGTATATTTCTGTTATAAACAAAAAAAATGCATTGTAAAGTTTTTAAAACGGTGATTTAATCGGTTAATATTTTCATTCAATGGTATATGCTTTCATGAGCTTGTGAAATAAAATTGAAAGAAATATTGAATGTTACTTTGCTCAGTCTGCTATACCAACTCAAAATACATACGAAAAGCTTTAGCCTTTAAGGGTCACCGTCCTAATACCCAAAAAAAATTAGTTTTTTCAATTCCTGCCATTGAATCCCTAAAAAATTGAAAATTGAGAAACAAAAGAAGGAAAGTCTAGAAGAGGAAAGCTCACAACCACAACTCCTCAATGGTGTCGCAGGTGTAAACCTGGCAAAGAGAGGTTCCCCCACCAGCACTTGCTTTGTCAAACTAAAAGGTCCACTTCCTCCCCAACTCATGCTTTAGCTGCGTCTTTGGCACTGACACCAATGCCGTTGCAACCCCTTCAACAATTGCTTCACTTGTCATCTTTCTCTCTCTCCCCTCTATGTTTAAGAAGAACAAAGAAAAGGGAACGGTCTGGTTATGCTTTGTATGGTTTCTGGGTTTTTACGATTGCACAATCCCACCGATTTTACGATCTAAGAAAGAGATCTCACCTGATCTCACTTTCGATCGATCTTACTATCGATCTAGATTGCTGGAGCCAAAAAAGTCATAGGATCTTATGATCCGATGATTTCGCGATCTTGACAACATTGGATACGACTCTGAGGGGAGAGTCAGTTGTAGAAAAAGATTCTAGGCTGTCCAACTGGCAAGGGAGTGGGGAATTCGAGGGAAATTCTATTAGGAAGTGAAAATATAAAAAGGGAAATGGTGGGGCAGAAAGAGGTTGGCAATTAATGGGGATTGGAGTAGGAACTTGGGAGAGAAGGGTGCCTCTTGAATTGCATCATTATTTGTAATTTCCTTCTTGAGTTACAGGTTTTGTCACTATATTTGGTTGTAATCTGTAGTTGAGTTCTGTTGAATCTTGTAATTTGGCAGAATCCATTTCCGGTTCATATATTATCAAAACATATTTGGGGAAAATTTGGTTGGAAAGTATTTCTATGCTTTGCCAAAACATCTTTTTATCGGATATGGATTGGGGTTTCTTTTGCAGTTTGGCTTATAGATAGAGGGATTGGAAGGCGTTTATGGTCTACGTGCAATTATCTTTCTTTTCTTTGTAATTTCTGTTTTCTTTAGGAGTATTCCGTATTCTTCACTCTTGTGGTTCTCTTTCCATAAATTTTCTTGTCTAATTAAAGATTATATATGGATATTCATTCTGCGGAGTGTCATTTTAAATCTTTCAATTTGATGTGAGTGTACTATTCTGTGTCTTCCTTTTGACAAATGAATGCATTGCTGATCTCTCTTCCCTTCAAAGTTAATTTTGTTGTTATGTTTTATATGATGAACAATATTTGTTACTATTAGAAATATAAGCTTTGGGATTTTGTGCTTCTTTCCTCCAAATTTATGATATAGTGTCATTGAATCAATATCTAGAGAGAAATTAATGATTTTGATAACTTCTTTAATCATAATGTTCATAATTTGCTGTATTGCAGGCTCAGATAATGCTAGGAATGGTGACCTCCCAAGTGGTTTGTTTCACTGCCTTTTTGCTTGATGTTCATTCCATTTTTTTTATGCTAAACCTTTGTCATCCTGGATTTTAAGATTTGATTTAGGGTGTTATTCCAACTTCCAAAGCTGTGAACTGAACCTGTGAATTTGCAGACTAGGGTTTGTTTGTTCTAGGACAGTTTGAAGCAAGTATCAGCTAATATTTTGTTATCATGTGTTTTTAGTACTGCCTGTGAAGTAAAATAGGTCTGGGCAGGTTTAAAAAGAGAGAGAGAGGGAATAAAAGTTGGTAAGAAGATTAAAGTAGCTTCACACCAGGTTCTTAAGCAATTACATCTAAGAGATACCTTGCACATTTGGCTGTGGGACTTATCTTAAAATGAACTCTGTACTCATCATTTCTTGGATAGCTGTATATATCACTTGTATAGGACTAGTCAAAATTTGGGGAAAAATTAGTCCAAAACATGATGTCCAAGTTTAATAACTACCTAGTAATAAAGTAAATAAAACCCAAATAACTGAACCGACTTAAGGAAAAGGTCACAAAAGCCCATTCATGGACATACATAAATACCTTATTATAAAAATACTATGATATCCTCAGGACTGAAATCTAACGTCAACCAAAACAACTCACGGAGCTACTACCCTAAACAATTACGATCAATTTAGGTATATGTAATATGAAATTAATATTAATTTATATCATAATACCGAGATCTTTTGTTTCTTAAGCTTATTCCTTTTAGATTTTACAGCTACCTCCATCAATTTTATCTTTTTAAAGTTTCTTTTTAATAATAATTTTTGCAGTTACAAATGCCAAACCTTAGGCTGGTCTCAGATGAAACCTCACAGTCAAAAAGTGAAGGCCAGCTAAGTCAGCCAACATTGGTTCAAAATCTGTCTGGCCTACCTCCTCATGGACAGAGCAATTTGAACTCTGGTTTGAAGCCTTATGTTCAAGAAGGCCAAATCAGCACCATACCTCATAATCCTTTGGCTCCTAGTCAATTAACTGCACATCCAAAGCATCCATTGCAGCCTCGAATTCCGCTTCATCAACATCCTAGCAACCATGCTATGCATCTGGGAACATTATCAGGGCATTCTAGTTTAATGCTTCCTGGTTTGCGTCCCCAGTCTGTGGGCAGTATACCTGTTAGACCTCCAATTCAACCGGCAACTTCAACTGCTCTGAACCAGCAAATGCATGCCTCCTTGCAACAGCAGCATTCAATACATATTGGAAGCTCAACTGTAGGACATAATGTCCCGATGGTTCATCCAGATGCAAGCTTTCAGGTGCCAAGTTTTGCATGTGCTTGAGTTTTTGTATGTTGCGTAGATATTGATATTTTTGAAAAATATATGGATAAAAAGTTAAGTTGAGATTGAGAACGTAGCATGCTGGTTTAGCTCCACCTTTCTTTCCATTGGCACATTATTCCTGCTTTATGCACTTTGTTATTATTATTTTGACATAGGAATCTGTATTAGAGAAAGAAAATAGATGTATGTTGAACATGATTGGAGGAAAAAAAACCCAGACAACAGGCCCCAATTCCTTACTCAATAATTGCTTCCCTCTCCCAGATCCTTCCCTTCCTTTTATCCTTGCTCTTGACCTGTTTTTGTGGCAAGGTTGTTACTGCCCTTTACAGCCCAAACTCCTCCTTCCCCTTACATTGTCCCCAATGTAGTAATTTTAGGAGGCCTAACACCTTATTTGTCCTACACACATTGTAGAAAGCGATGATTGGCAATTTCTGAAATCTTGCAACTCGAGAAACATCTGTAGAGCCTACATACAGCTGGTTATTAATATTAATCTTAACAAATTATTACTATCCAAACAAAACCCTTGAATCTTTGAGTGAGCTTTAACCCTCCAAAAGGAGCTGCAGGAGCAGCGTTACAAGTAGATCGATTTCGGATTTAAAAATGAAAAATCTGAAAGAGTATAAGTTCCATATGCCCTTTTATTATAAAAAATAGGTGGTTAACGAACAAGAAAATCACCAGAGCGCCAATTGTTGAGAAGCATCTTTGTCATCTATGCAATGTCTTCTATATTATTTACCTTTCATAGAAATTTCAAGACAGTTATGCTCGAGTATAATTTGCTAGTGCTTTCAATTTAAGATGCTGTGAAGCTGATTTTCTACAGTCGTGTAGAAGCTAATTTTCTCTGCACTTCTGGCTACAACTTTTTTTTCTTTGATATATTTATTTTTTTAAAATAAAGTATCTAACTTCATTTATTAAAACAGCCTGGCCCCTCCATATCATCAGGTATTTCTCAGTTAATTAGTAAGGAAGGTGATAGATCTTCTAAAGTTCTTGAGGATTTAAATTGGGCCAAGAGAAGTAGTAGTGCATATTCAAACATGCCTTTGGGAGTAGAGAAAACAAACATGGTTCATAATTCTTCAGAATCTTTTACTCGCCAGTCAAAGCTCATGAAATTGAATGATGGAAGGAGGATCTCTCTTTCTGCTGGGATTTCAGACGTGCCTGTTACCAATGGATCATCCCATGTTCTTGGGAGTAGCTCATTACCTGTACTTGCAACTCATAAAACCGAAGTGCAACATTCTGAGCAACAATCTTCTCAGGTATGATAGTTAATAATTTTCTCAATAATAAATTTATTCAATGATTTTCTATTATTTTGTTTAAATTTGGATGTGGAAATCATTGTATGGCCATCCATTTTGAGGTTCTGTATAGCCTCTCATTTGGTTGCTAAAAAAGCTAAGTCCAACTTACAGAAAGGATGTTTAGGAGTATACCTCTGAATTGCCTAATTTTGCCTGTTTCTTAAATTCTGAAATTGACCTTAGATTATGCGTATGCTTAACTTTACTTAATTGGATAGCCGGATGAATTAAGGTGATAGACTAGTTTTAATTTACTTTTCAAATAATCTTTTTCATAAGTGAAACCTCCTATTGCTGTTATTTAAGGAGTTAAATATCTGACGTATGCAGCTGACAACTATGCTATAAAGGTTTCTTTTCCTTTTCTTTTGTATCATCACTAAGTGGATAAATTTTTATTCTTTCTACTCCTGACCAACGAACCAAGACTCTTCATTTAATATTTCAGACAATTTTCTGTCAAGAGTTGATATCATAACCATCTTTAGATCACTAGTATGTACTTTAAGGATATGCTAACATGACCTCTAATTGGTTTGGAACTAGAGAACTGATTATGTCTTTTTACTTTCGGGATCATGCCAGCATGACCTCTGCCTTGGTTGAGCTTATGGTCTGTTATGACCTAAATTTCACACTAGGAGAGAAATTTTATGCATTCATAATATAAAACGTTTCTCTCTTTTATATATGTTGAGATATATAAAACCATTAAAAAGCCCATACCCATCAGCTTAAGCTTTTGGGTTAAATTGATTATTTACATGGTATCAGAGCTTCGTGTCCCGAGTTCGATCCTTATCGCCCCCCACTTTCTTTCTTGTGGAATTTTTTTCGTAGCACAGGTAGGTGGGCCTGTGCATTGTTCACACTTCAAGCCCAATGGACTCTCTTGTGAGGGGGCGTGTTGAGATATATAAAACCATTAAAAAGCCCTCACCCACCAGCTTAAGCTTTTGGGTTGAATTGATTATTTACAATATATATAAAAAAAAGGAGCATCTAATCTCATGTTGTAGGAGATACTCCTCTCATGTCATAGACCCAACACATGGTAGGTCCCACCATGTGTTAAAAAATAAAAAATAAACAAATAAAAGGCACGTTTGTCAATGTATTTACAACATAAGATAATTCTCTCCTGTTACATGAGAGAATAATTTCCCATAAAAAAATCCAATGTCCAGTTTTCGGTGGAAGTATGACTTTTTACTTTTGCCTGAAGACACCTTTAAATGTGTCAGATTTACAATAATTCTGCTTTTACCGTTTCAATTGATTCTTTTTACCACAATGGACTGTATCTTATTTGATCAATATAGCCAGTGATTCCGGATATATAAAATCATTATTCTTGTTTTCTTTGCTCAGCCCCAGCTTCCACCTGATAAGGAGTCTGTTTTACTGCAACAAGTGTTGAATCTAACACCAGAGAAATTAAGTACCTTATCACCAGAGCAGCAGCAGCAGGTCATTCAGCTCCAGCAGGCTCTTCGGCGAGATCAGATGCAGCCCTCATGACAGACATGGACACATGAAAAAAGCTCAAATACACGGCAACTTATTTGTGGCAAAGGTGGTCTTTTTTGCCTACTCAATTTCCAGGAATATGGTTTGACAGAAACCAAGTCTGTCGCTTGTATATTAGCATCTGCTGTAGATTAAGTTGAGAATATCAAAATTCTTTTGAGCACTATTGCTTCTTTTCTTTTTTTTTTGTAATTTGTTTTCAAATTCCTTGTCCAAACATTTGATGTAGCATTGAGGAGCTCCACATGAGCGAATATGAAATCCTTTAGAAGAGGTGTTTGTACAATAATAATTATGGCGATGAAAATTTTGGTCTGTGACATCCTCTTTTTGCTGTGGGCTGAACATCTTTGCCTTATCATTTGAGCTATAAGCATATGGTTGACTATATTATCTCTCCCACTAAATTGCGTTCTATTACTTGTACCACTGTTAGACATTTAATCCTAAACTGAATATTCAGCATATCAATCTTCCTTCTGCAAATGCGGACACACCATCACTGCTCGCGTGCATGTTTTGTAGCAATCATGGTTGGTTTATCATTGAAAACACAGTTGACAGGTGGTTGCCCCACGTTTTCAGTTGTGGTAACAGTAATCTTATACTTAAAGAAGAAAAAACGAAGCTATGATTAGTAGGTCATTTTGTTTTTCATTTACTCTCTCTCTCTCTCTCTCTCTCTCTCTCTCTCTCTCTCTCTCTCTCTCTCTCTATATATATATATATATATATATATATATGGGTAAATATTTTTACAGCCATTTTAGATAAGGTTATTTATAGCTATCTGAAAAACTACGTTGTTGTTTTGATTAATGAATGATGTTTCTGTAATTTTAGGTGAATTAATGAAGGGTGTTTCTGTAATTTTGTTTATTTTTTATCATAATTAATTCACGTAAAATTATATAAATACCCTTCATTAATCAAAACGACGTAATTTTTGGGATAGTTATAGACAACCTTATATAAAGTGATTGTATAAATATTTTTTTCCATATATATATATATATATATATATATATATATATATATATATATAAGGTTTGATGTTTGTCATTTTAAATGATATAAGTTATGTCATTTTAAGAGAGAGATATAAACAATGAATGAAAATCACGAGAGAAAGTGATTGATTTTTTTTTAAATTTAAATTTAAATAAAAAAATTATTATGTGTCTATCTCTCTCTTAAAATGACATAACTTTATGTCATTTAAAATGACAAATATTTTTTTCCATATATATATATATATATTTGTAAAAAAAAAAAGGGGAATGCGCACTTTCTTGAAACAATTTTCAAGTGACTGGTTTACATCTTCGATCCAAACTTGAGATAATGGATGTAATCCAAAAAAAGATTCATAAGTGGTTGTTAATGGAGTTGAAGTCACCAAATTTTGTGTATCTGTATCAATTTATGTCTAATTGCTCCACATATAGTCCCTCGAACCATATATATATATATATATATAGGGATAAATATTTCTATAGCCACTTTAGATAAGGTTATATACAGTTACCCAAAAACTACGTCGTTTTGATTAATGAAAGGTGTTTCTATAATTTTAGGTGAATTAGTGAAGGGTTTTTTGTAATTTTATACATTATTTTATCATATATATTTTACTGAAACATCCTTCATTAATTCATATAAAATTACAAAAACACTCTTCATTAATCAAAACGACGTAATTTTTGAGATAAATGTAGATAACTTTATCTAGAGTGGTTGTAGAAATATTTTTTCCATATATATACAGAAGGAAAAACTACTCTCATATTGTAAGAGAGTAATTTTTCCTCCTATACACTCTTTGTTGCATTTTGTTTTTTGTTTTTTTTAAGTGTTCCTCCTACACACTCTTCAAAAATTGTGTTACATCTTGTTTTTTGTTTTTTTTTAAGTGATAGCCCCATCAATATGTATCCATGATAGAAAATAACTTTTCTCAGAATAGAGAAGCCATATATAATTGATGTAGTTTTTTTTTTGTTTTGGACATAAGCATATGATAGCTGAATTTCTCACAAATAAATATGGTTAAGGGAGAGTCAGACCCAATTTTCTACCAAAAAGAGAGACCCACGAACCAATGTGCGCCAGTGTAAATTGATTCATATATAGTGTGTTAGATGTTAGTATTTAATACATGTGCAATATATACCCATGTAATTTTGTATACATCGAACAAGATTGGATAGAAAATTATGTCATTCACAAATTCCAAAAATGTAAGCTAATTGACTTGTTGAGAAAGGAGAACTAGTAATCCTTGTGGACCTACTAATATTTCGTTAAGAAAACTGATCAATCCAAACCAGACGACAGGAGTAACGTCCACACCAGCAAGAGGAGGAATCACTTTGCGGGTAGGAATGAGAAGTGGCTCAGTGGGAGCATAAGCTATTACATATGGAAATTTTCCCACCGGGAGTTTTGGGTACCAGGACATAACTATTCTCAAGATAAAGAGAAAACCAAACACTGAGAGGAAGGGACCTAGAAACCCAATTGCTAACTTTGCAGTACCAGGATCAAGATCAGCAGCAACCAACCTTGTCATGAAATTTGTGGTAGCGTGTGATGTTTCCGGTATGCTGAGCTTGAGAGCATTCAAGCCAACATCTGAATCAAGAGGCTTCTGTGTAGTAGCTGCATCCAATATTGAGAATATTGCTATGTCTGCTGAAGCTCCAATTTCCGGGTAACATGAGCAACATTGCATGACTCGAGAACTACCATTGACATTTCTTTTAGTAGGATACTTTGAACTTTTCTGCAATAATTAAAATGCCAAATTAGTCTGAGATAACATGATATTTTGCAGTGTGGAAGAAAATACCAGTGTTCCAAAGGTCATCCATTGTTTAAACTTACGGGAATATGCCTATTTTATTTTTATAAATGACTACTAGGAACAAATTAAACAAAAATAGCCACAAAAACACAATGGAACGATAAGCTATAATCAATACCCAGTAGAAACACAATGGAGATAATAACTTTGTGTCAATAAGAAAAAAGAACGATAAGCTATTTATTAATTGAATCTCATCATCCATACATAATGAATTGGTGTGGTATATTCAATTCATAACAATGAATAGTAAAAACTAGTACTGTCGAATTAGGATATTCAGTTATTGGGAAAAAAATCAATATACTTTTAATGTCGAATTAGGATCAACTAGGAAAGAAATAAAGCATTGAGTCAAACTCTTTTGTAGTGTCACGGTAATATCTATTTAAGACAAGTTCATTGTTACATGATGAAGGAATGTCAAAAGTGTAGCAAAAATAGAAATCAAATTCATTAGCTCAAAACTGAGCTATCCAAATTCCACAAAGAAGCCCAGAAAACAACCTTGTCCTACAAAAGTACAAGGTAAATGATTAAAGGAATCATTGAAATCTGAAAACACACTGGCATTAAACTCTAGCTGGTAGCCCTAGAAACCACCATAATCAGCAATTAGGAGTGACAATGGGTGGATAGACTTTTCCACTATCTCAATCCAAATCCTAAGAAACTACGCAATACCTGAATCCCCCAATAACTAAATAAAATTACATTTGTCCCACTTAATTCAAAATATCTGAAATATCCATTCAATATGCTACTACAATTGGGAATTTGATTGAAATGCCTACTTTTAAATAATAATAATAATAATAATAATAATAATAATAATAATAATAATAATCTTTGCTGTAGAAAACATAAAAAAGCATATCAGAAAAATGTTCCCACATTGTGATATAACACAATCCAAGTTGTGATTATTATGTCAATAATCAAGACCAGATTTTGGAAATACTTTTTTGCTGGTACAGCATCAAACAAAGGCCTAATATACCCATATTTCAGTCTTGTTCTCCGAACCGTAAAAATCAAAATCCATACTTGCTTGGGCATTTTATCAAATAGCACACTTTCAAAGAAATAATAGATAACATAGCACAATATCAATCCCTAACTGCAAACATAGCATACTTTCAAAAGGTCTTGCAATGCATCTTTCCGAACTCTTAAAAACACATCAACAATAAGACAAGGAACCCTGAAGTTTGGTCATTACTAAAATTTATGCAATGTGCAGTCAATTCCAGTAGTTCAATGTTAAAATACAGTAAAAATGTCACTGATCACAAAATAGCATAATGGAAGTTTGTTTTTATGTTGTTATCTTTGTATACTTCCATATAAAGAAGATCTCAAAAAAAAAAAAAAGAAGAAGAAGAAGGAAATTTTGACTGTCACATGAATCGATCAAACATCTTCAGATATCAAAAGCACTATTCTGCTCGTTGATCAACTCCCATAAAAACCTGGGAAATGCTTCATTTTCTTGTTGCACATTCATATTGATTGGTTAAACCAACCAATTAAACAAAGGTCTAAGTAAATTAAAACGGGAATTATTTAAGAGATTCAAATCTAGCTTTTTCACACACTGCATTCCCTCTTTCTTCATCATGGGCATCATTAACCCATTCCAAATTCTACATAGAAAAGCAAATATGAACATGAATTGAAACAACCAGAACAAAAAAAAAAAAAAAAAACTTAAATGGGCATGCCAAACTTAGCTGCTGGAAGTACTCCGATGAGAAATTTCGAGAGAGGAATACTTACCCAGACGCCCAAGCCAAAATTTCTTGGCTTGAAAATTGAAGGTTGAACTCCTACAAATTTGGAAAATTAAAACAACAAAAAGAGTGAACTGAGATGAAGCCAGCGTTGATAGAATGGAGAGTACAAAAAAGTTGAATGGTTACCTCTGATTCCCACATGAAAAGAGTTCAGATTCAGAAGATAAGATTGCGTTGCCATTGTTATGTCAGACAGAAAAGCAGATAAGGAGGGAACTTAATAAAAAGTAAACAACAATATTTCAATATTTATTTTAATTACAAGAGTAAATATTTTTTTAAGTCTCTCACAAAAAAACACGGTTCTTATTGTAATTTTTTTTTTAAAAAAAATTATTCGTCTGAAACTTAAAAAATTTAAAAGGTACTTATTTAGTTAAATCGTATTTCTTCACAAATTTAAAAAGAATTCAAATTAATTTTTAAAAGGACTAAATTGAGTCTATTTCGAATTTCTTAGAAAATATACGATTAATTTTTTTTATAAGAAATTAAAATGGGAATCGTATTTTTTTGTCAGAGATCCAAAAAGTTATTTATTGTAATTATAATTATCTACTCATTCCATCTATATTTAGAAAGTAATTCTTAGTTATACATGTTATTATACAAAAAAATTCATGCTAAAGACACATCATCGTGTGTAGAAAATATTTTCATGCTAAATACACATCGTCCTATGTAGGAACCATATTTATTAAAAAAACGAAAAAATAAAAAAAATGATGCATAAAAATCGAAGAATTATTAATATAAATAAATAATTTTCCTACGAGAAAATGTTTTTCTATATATAACCTCAAATCATTGAAGTTGTTGTGGGCTTTGAAATAGATGCATGCATTTACTTTTTTAAAATATTTGTATACATATCAAGTAATATTTTTTTTTTTTTTGTAAATATCAAGTAATATTTTAAGTGCCATCTAAGTGAAGTAAAAAATTTCTTTATAATTGATTGCAGGAATAAAAATATTTACTTGTTGAAGAGTTTCAACGATTAATTATTTATAAGAAAAAATAATAATAGTATATGTGTTCAAAAAATACTTTCATAAATATTAAATAATAATTTAATGAAAAATGATCCGTTCATAATTTTTTTTTACAAATTACACTAAGTATGACTGGTTATACACTCTTGATTGAAGTATGACCGGTCATACATAGTGTAGTTTGTAAGAGTTTGTAAACAAAAACTTTGTAAATACAAATTTTCCTTAATTTAAACACCTAAAAAATAATTCAATATATTTTGTTTATTTAAAAATATATCCCATACTCTTTTTTTTTGGTAAAAATATCCCATACTCTTTAATCTCCTATATTTATTTTTCTTTCCTTTTTTATTTGGTTTTTCCTTGTTTTGTTTTATTACTGGTTGAATTAAGCATAAAACTCACAACTTATATATATTTATTATTTTCTAAAAATAGGAATTAATCATGATTGTCACTGTATAAAATCGAGTAGCCATTTTAGAGGTTAAACTAAACAATCAGTCTATATAATTTTACATGAATTGAATTTTAGTCCTTACATGTTTTGTTTTTTAATACGAGGGAAGATATTATTACTACCAAAATTTTCTACTACTAATTTACTATCTATTTAATCACCATTGAATCAAAGAGAGAGAATGTTTTGTTTTTCAATATGAGGGAGGATATTCTCACTACTAAAATTTTCTACTACTAACTTACTATCCATTTAATTACCATTGAATCAAAGTGAGAATGCTAAAAAAAATTTAAAAAAGAGAAAATTTTGATCCGGTGATTAGATAGGTAGTGAGTTGGTAATAGAAAATTTTGATACTAACAATATCTCTTATCTTTTAATACTGGTTCTTAGATTTTTATTTTATTTTAAGATTTTGATCGTTACTATTAAAGTAATGGCTTATGCTCACCGTGTCCCCCAACGCCCTTTTGTGCCGTCGCCAGCCGCCAACGGCTTCCCTATCTCCACCAATTCCGGTTTTTATTATACTCTGTTTAGTTGCTTCAATTTTATTTCCAATATTTTAGTAATTAAAAAAAGTTTGATTTTGTGACACCCCAGTTTTGAATGAAGGTCAAAGTTGCAATCTTTTTTTTTGGTTTGCTTGAGTTGTTTGATGATTGGAAGATTAATAGGTTCTGGTCATTGTGTATTTGCGGTGAATTAATTATACCATTATTACAAAGAACTCTAAAAAATTTGTTCCATTGTAAGGTGTGTTAGAGTGCAAAATTAAGTGGCCAATTGTTTCTAAATCTCATAACACAATAGGGGATAAGGTGAGGGCATAGAGTGGCAAGAGACTAGGTATTTGCAACAAGTCATTTGTATTCATCCTACTGAGTAATGTCGTCCAAACAAATTTTTTGACCTTTTGTTAAGGATGAAGGAAGCATTGATGGTTCAAAAAGTGGGTTAGAAACTGAATAATGGAGTCCTAAGAAGTATTAATCATATTATGGCCTTGATGGGGAATGCATGTGACTTTTCAAAAGGTCATCAAAATTTGGTTTGGTAAAAATGTAATACAAGCTGCAATGAATTGCTCAAAAAAAAAAAAAGTTTACTAAAGATTACTGCAAAACAGCTCCAAGAAACTGATGCTATAATTTAAAAGGCACAAGTTTGAATTAGGAAAGCAGAGTTATAATTTAAGAAACGGTAAAGGTCTTTTGAACATGAACAAGTGGAGTCCTTGTGCTATTTAGCTGCTGTATGGTTTCTACTCTTTGCTTGTTGTAAATTGGGCTTCATTGAAGTTTTTAGCATGAGTTGCAGCAATTGATTTTGTATTTTGATTGTCATATTCGTTTGAATGAATAACTCACAAGGCATTCCTCAGAGGGTGGCTCATGGCCATGTTAGAGTATTGGGTTATTTCCCTTTGTTTTTTCTATTTTCAGGGGAGGGGAGGGTATGTTTTAAAAGGTTGATTTTTTGTTGTTTATTGATAGGTATTGTCTTTTGGGTTGTACAGGGGAGGGAGTTTCACATAAAAGTGCCTAACAAGAATCAGGGCCTTTGCATCCATAAACAAAGTCTTTTTCTTACCACACATTTTGTTTAATATCGCATGTTATGAACAAATCTGAGCTATCATACGATCAGGTTGCTCCAAATAGTATCTTCTGAGTTAGAGACTGCAATGCAAATGATACGAGCCAAAATTGCTGAAAGATCATTTGGAAGGCTAACCATTTGCCCCTCAGAGCATTTTAGGCTCTAAATTATTACATATTATTTTTATAAAAAAAATCACATGTTTGCTATTTTTTAAATGGATTATGCGAGCGAAATCATTTAAAAATCATTACAGGCCCGGTGTGTTTTGTGTGTGCCTCAAAGATTTTATTACCAACTTAAGCAATATAATTTTTAAAGACAGATTGTTTGATGATATCAAACTAAAAAATTTGATACCAAATTTCAATCATTAATTTCTGTCAATTTAAGAAGGGAAAAATATTTATTCTTTTAAATGACACAACTTGTGTGATTTCACTTTCACAAAGAAGTCAGACTCACACTTTTATAATTTTTTGTCTACTTTTTCTCTTCCATTATCTATCTCTTTCTCTCACTTAAATATAACTTTACATCATTTAAAATGATACATATTTTTTTCATTTAATAATTTAATTTATTAAAAATTAATAATTAACTAATTTAAAACCATGCACCGTTTCCTGTTTGGTTTTGGGAATACCAAATTATGCTTTAGGTAAAGGTTTCCTTCTTGTAACACGTGACGGTACTATATCAGTGAGGTTCCAGACAAAACAAGAACCCAAGCATGGTATGATTTCTGCAACATGTTGCTTATCCACCGCCACAATTGGAAGATCAACAAGGCAGGTTATCAACTCCATGTCTACCCCGTAAATAATACAATAAATTAGTTTCGGTGCAGTTTTTAAATTCATACATGAAAAAGTAGGAATACATCATTTTCAACTAGAATCGAAAATTGATTCTTACTTAATCCATATAATAATAATAATGACAATAATAATAATAAAATAGACTATCAATTTATAATGTATTAATAATTTATGGAAAAAATATGTTCGCAGTTAATGCAGATAAGTTATCTGCATTTATTTTCAAAACGACGTCGTTTTGATATTAAAATCTTAAAAAATTATAAATATAAAAATTATTATAACCCTGAAATAAATTAAAATTACAAAAACACCATAACTTTTGTCTTAAAACGACATCGTATTGAGCTTACTGCAGATAACTTATCTACAGTAGCTCCAGAAAAAAGCGAATCCATAAATTATATATATTATTTTTATCTTTATACTCTTTGGTGTACAAGTAGATGGTTATAAAGTCAATGATAAGCATTTCTTACCACCCAAAAAAGGATAAAAAAATTCATATATTGAATTGGCATAGACATATATGAAATAACCATCAGCAAATGACAAAGATATTAAATAAGGCACCACCGAAAGTAGCTAAACATAATTGGCATACCCATAACCCTATATAATTTTCATCTCCTCCCAAAAAAAAAACTTGAGATATCATGGAGGTTCACATCTTGCTTTTATTTGTTACACTATCCCTAGTCATCATCCGGTTCATTCTGAACCGCTACCTTAAAAAAAACCAGCCACCCGGTCCAACCGGCCTCCCCATAATCGGAAACCTCCATCAACTGGGTCCCAAACCCCACATCACCCTTTCCTCTCTAGCCAAAACCTACGGCCCCCTCATGTCCCTCCGCCTCGGCTCCGTCAGCGTCGCCGTCGTCTCCTCCCCCGCCGCCGCCCAAGAAATCCTCCAAAAGAACGACCAAGCCTTCGCCAACCGCCCCATCCCGGAATCCGTGGCGGCGCAGCCCAACGTCGGCGACACCCTAGCCTGGGCCCCCGGCGACCACCGGTGGCGCAACCGGCGCCGCATCTGCACAACCCAGATATTCACAACCCAACGGCTGGATCTCCTCCAACACCTGCGGCAGCGCAAAGTGCAGGAAGTGGTGCAACACCTTCAGAAGCAAGGTGAAAGGAGAACAGTGGTGGAGATTGGCGAGGTCGCGTTCGCCACCATGCTGAACCTAGTGTCGAACACGGTGTTCTCGGAGGACATGGTGGACCGTGAGTTCGAGAGCGCCGGTGAGTTCAAGGAGTTGGTGTGGAGGATCATGGAGGACGCTGGGAAGGTGAACCTTTCGGACTATTTTCCGGTGGTGAAAAAGTTGGATTTGCAAGGCGTGAAGAGACACGTGAAGGTTTCTTACGAGAGGTTGCATGAGATTTTTGATGATATGATTCGAAAACGTATCGGAGATGGAGATAACGGAGAGAGTTTGCGCGGTACATATGGTGATTTCTTGGATGTGTTGCTTTATCATTGTCAACAAGAAGGTTCTGATTTCAGTGTTGAAAGCATCAAGCCATTGATTCTGGTAACGCGATAACTTTTCCTTTTATTTTTTTTTTCTGATTAATTGCATTTATAACAATTTTATTTTATACTAAACGAAATTAATAAAAGGGTTTCTGATTATAATCAGTTGTTAAGGTCTTAAGTAATACAAAAAATAAAAATCATAAAAATGTACAACATTGCATATATTAAAAAAGATTTTATTTTATTTTATATTTCTAACAGGTGCTTTTAAGGGGGTTGGTGGACATTTGTCCTTGAGTCTAATAACTAGTATTTTTTCAAGCCTAATTATTAGGTAAAAATTTATATAAGCTTTTTAATTTATTTTTACTAATTTAAGTTATTTTGATTAATTTAGTTAGAACTTTTTTTTTAACATTTTAGAATGTAAGTAATTTCTTCAAACTAAGCCATAATATATATTTATTAGAGTTTGCATTTGTCATTTAACATGACACAACAAATTTTTCTACACACACAACATTTTGTGGGGTTCACACTTTTTGAAAAAAAAAGAAGAAGACAGAAATTATGGCATGCAAAACGAATCTCTATAACATTACACAATCACTTTTCCTACAACATAACTCTTATAAAATCCATATTTATTAATTGGAAATAACATCTATCCTTTTAGAGGATATAAACTTATATCATTTTAGACCATAACTGTTGATTTTCGTCCATCAACGATTATAATTTATTGGATTAAAATTATTAATTAATAATAATAAATTTGGTCCATTAAGTTCGACTTAATAGATTATAACCGTTGATGGATGAAAATTAACGGATAGAATCTAAAAGAATATAAGTTTAGGATAGATGTTTTCTCCTTATTAATACCAAACCTTCCAAAACGCCTTTTTTTTTTTTGGTCTCAAATGATGGGACAAGTGGACAGCTCATGTAAAAATTGACAGTCAATATTTAAATTTCTATCGTTGAATATTAAATGATATCTTTCTTTTAAATCTGATGACGTATGCGTACACCTTCTTTACTATTTAATTAAAGAGACAACCATCAATAATTTTGATCTAGATTACTATGTCATTTAAAAAGAATAAATCTTGCTAAACTTTGAAAGATGCTTAGCGAAGAAAGTCAACTTTTGAGGCAAAAAAATCTTCATTTCAACTATCAATAGCAGTGCCTTGTCTTTGTTATCAATCAATTAACAAATATATATATATATTTTAAGCTTTTTTCATTGCTAGTATCACAACTTTTTAAATTTTATTTTATTATATAATAATTTAATTTAAAATTTATTTTTTATTTATATTTATTTATTATTTTATCTGTCACTTTGATTACTATGTCACAAGTTTTTTTTTTAAATAATAATTAAAGTGTATTCATTTTTTTTGAATTGAAATAATACATACTTTTTATAAAAGTATCTTACAATTCTGTTATCAAAATATCTTGAAATATTTGTCTACTCTTAATCTTATAAGTTCTAATAATAATAATAACCTATAAGTAAATTTTCACGAGACAGCTTTATTAGTATAGTTAAAAAGAACGCACTTACGTATAAAAAAACAAAAAAAAAACACACTTAATCAATTGCATAGAAGTTGAGCAGGTGAGGATGAGAGTATGTACTTGATCTCTCAAATATATCATTTTGGGAAGGTATTTAAAGTCTTAATTCTGAATTCACCCCGAATATAATTGACTCCGAGAAGGATATCTGTTATTTATAAAAAAAAATATGTATATTATAATTTATATCAAATATGCTCTGCACTCATTTTGTCACTTTCTCATATCATTTCATCTCCTCAAGAGTTTCTTATGGGCTTTTCCGAGGTCTACCTCTGTGGTAGATCTAAAAAAAAAAAAATTTAAAATTTAAAAATTGAATATTATTATAATTTATTTAATATACTTTTTTATTGATGATATATTTTATTTTGTTCACGTTGTTGTTATTATTATTATTATTATTATTATTATTATTATTAATACAAGACGTGTCAAAAATTTATCGATATATGATAACATCGTAACTAAAGATTGTGGCTAGTAATGATGTTTTAAGAAAAAGTTATTAACATATAATTCAGATAAATTGTAAATTTAAAAAAAATAAAGAGTAGCAATTATATTTTATGAGAAATATCCTTAATATCTTTTATCAAATATTATTTTAAAATATTATGATTATAAATTTTTCTTAAAGCAAAATAAATTTATTTAAAGTATGCACAAAATATTTATTTACTAAATAAAAATTTAAAATTATAAATATTTAATTTAAACTAGCTGTATAATTAACGGGTAAAATATCAATAGTGTAATAATTAATGACGCGGATTTTAGAAACAAAAACAACTAATGAATATGGGCGACGTGGCAGGGTAAAGGCGCACGGCATGTATTATTATTATTTTTTGGTAGACACGGCATGTATTTTATTTTTGCCTTACGACTTAACAAACTTTTTTATAGTCCCTTTTTTGTTATTATTAATTTCTTTTTAATTTTATATTTGAATATAATATTTGAGAAGTGGAAGATTAAAGTTTGTTTGAATAAATAAAAGTTTTTAAATTTGAATTTAATTCACACTCAGTTAAAAACTTCTTTTGATCAAGGTAAATTTTCAAGTGGTTAATGGTTTGAATAAGAAAGGAATAGAAAAAGAGCTGAATTGGTGATAGATACTAGATACTGAAGGTTCAGAAGATTCAACTATCGGATATGCTTATGTGACCCAAAACAATAATTCTTAGTAAAGGTTAAAAAGTGTTTACCTACAAACAACAAAACAATATATATATAATGGGTTTAGTGTGTCATTCAAAAAAGGACATAAATTATGTCTTTTTAATGATTTACACAGAGTACGATCGGTCTATGTAATTCTGAAAAGTTATTTTTTTTTTCACTTTACACGTCAGTGATGTGATTGAGAAGAGAGAAAAAAAAAAAATAACTTTTCAATTTTACACAAAATATGACCAGTCGTACTTCGTGCTAAAATGACACAATCGTAGTTGAAAAGATACTTCTTTTTTCCATATATAATTCTGTGTTCAAACAGGATTTGTTTATTGCGGGAAGTGACACTTCAGGATCAACAACAGAATGGGCAATGGCAGAGCTTCTACACAACCCACAAGTAATGCAAAAAGCAAGAAAAGAACTGATCCAAGTAATTGGCATCACCAATGAAGTCAAAGAATCAGACATACCTAGACTTCCATATATCCAAGCAATAGTGAAAGAAACCCTTCGTCTTCATCCGCCTGTACCCCTTCTCTTACCCTATGTTGCTGCCAATGATGTTGAAGTAAGTGGATACACCATTCACAAAGGAAACCAAGTTCTCATAAATGCATGGTCTATTGGCAGAGACCCCAACTTCTGGGATGATCCATTGTTATTTCAACCTGAAAGGTTTCTTAGGTCCAACATAGATTTTAAAGGCAGGGATTTCGAGTATTTACCTTTCGGTGCTGGTAGAAGAATTTGCCCTGGTTTGCCACTCGCTAATAGGATGATTACTTTGATGTTGGCTGCGTTCATTCATTCTTTTGAATGGCAGCTTCCTGAGGGTGTCACTCCTGAAACGCTTGACATGAGTGAGCAATATGGAATAACATTGAAGAAGTTTGCCCCTCTTTGTGCTATTCCAATATCAGTATGAAACTTCTTGAGATATGAAGAAGTTTAGGAATGCAAGATCTTTCTTTGATGTTATTAAGCTTAATGTTTCTCAAGAATCTACTTTAATGACATTAAGATTTAGATTGAACTATAATATATTATATATTATTCCATATACTTTTGTTTTTTTATACCAGATTTTATATTTTTTATTTATTCTTAGACTTTGGTATATATATTGGTTTTTATATATTTTAATTATTTTCTCTAAAATTTATTCTCATTAAAGTATTGATCTTTTTTTTATGAAGAATTTGTTCTTATAATGTTAAATTATTAAGGGTATATTTGCGGTAGAGAGTTTTGGACGAAAAAGGAATGAACTATTTTCAATTAGATCTGATCTAATTTCGTAATTTTTTAGGATGGAACGAATAAATGATGAATTATCACGAAACTTTTGGATCTTCTCTTGTTCATTTTTATAAATACTATATATCAAAATATGAAAAATTTATCTTTTATTTTCTTTACCTCCAAGACTCTCTATCCAAACATGCCTTAAGATATTAGTTTTTGGAATCAAAATTTTAATAAATAAAACTATAAGAAATAAATTGTAAAATATAAACTATAAGACCATAATCTAAACGAGGTGAAATTATAGAGAGTAATTATTTATTTTAATCTAAAATTCATTTAACATATGAACAGTTTTTTGTGCACATGGTTGTGAATTGTGATACTCAATATTTTTTATTTTTTCTGTTGCTTAACTTAATTAGTTGGATTGTCAAGGTAAAAAAAACTCATATAACAAACCGTTCAAATAATGCTGAATGTTGAATTTAAGCCAACAGTTTCGGTTAAAACTAATTCAGTACCTCAAATTACAATTCCCCAACTAATTAACAAACTCTCTGTTCTAGAATTATATACGTTCAAAATCTTGTTGGCACCACAAGGTTGCTGAGGTGGACCAATAACCACTCATGTCGACAGATTAGAATTTCAGTTACTAGAAAGATTCCAACACCTATAAAAATACATAGACACAGACACTATCTCCCACCAACCAAAAGAGCCCTTAAAACTCTACATCATCTTTTGACACAAAAGCCAAAAATGAATTCATCAGCACTTTGTTCCCTATTGGTAACCCTTTGCTTGATCCTCATATCTCATTCTCCTTTGCAAGCAAATGCTAAAGGTCGGAGGGTGATTGGCCAAGTTTGTAAGGAAGCATTGGAGGACAGGGCCATGTGCATGACCATTCTGAGATCAGATCCTCGAATCCTACATTCAAAGAACTATGTTCAACTATCAAACATGGTCCTCCAGTTGGCATTGAACAAGGGCATTGAAGGCCAGAACTTTCTCAAACAATTGGCTCTCACAAACATATCTCCAGCCATTTCTCAATGTGCAAACTTTGACTATGATGGGGTTGTTGAATCATTCAAGAGTGCACTGGGTGAGTTGAAAGATGATCCTCAAACAGCAAACTATGATGCCAAAGTAGCTGGTGATGGAACTGACACATGTGAGAGAGGCTTGGCTGCAGCACATATAGTTAACCCTGCTATTTCCGCTCTTAACCGGGAAATATTGTTGCTTAGCAAGATTGCATTCCTAGCCACAAATAAACTTTAATTTCTTAAGCCTTTGTATTGGAAATTGGAAATGCATATGGTTATGTTGGGCAGGGTCAAGCCAAGGATGAGAAAAAATTATGGATGGAGGGGGGATTTTAGGGTCTCCTTTCGTGTTCTTATTTATTTATTTTTTTAATCAAAAGCATCATATTTGAGCACATGTTTATTCAAAAATGAAGAATCTAAATTCATTAAAAGTACCAGTTGACACGTATTTTTTTTTAAAAATATTTTAGGTCTTACATATTACAGGTAACTGATATAGTAACTTATATTAAAAAAAAAAAACTTATAATAGGTCAAGATTTTCATCGCTGTTATGTTTTTAGAACGGTCAGCAGGGCCCATAATTAAACCATGCTGCTTCGTTGTTCTAAATGATGAAATAGTTTAGAAAAAGGAAAGTTGTTTCAAAGTAGTTACAAATCTCAATAAAGTTTAACATGGTACTCTACCAATAAAAGTTTATGAGTATGAATTAAACCCTTTAACCTTTTTACTGTATTCAATCTTATTAATTGATTCAACCCTCATTAATTAGTCCGTTAAACCATGCACGGTTCTATAACTACATAAAACTAATCTATTAGCGGTGCGATGTACGGAAAAAAATAAAATCGATTTATCTATCTCGTAAAAGTTAACGCAAATCGTAAAAGTATATCTCTGTATTTTATTTAAATCAACACTATTAGGTACTTAACTCCAACTTTTTGTACATACAGAATTAGCAAATATTTGACTTATTATATTTAATATTCTAACAAACACTTCATAGTTGAAGTTGAATGTGGTAATTCAAATGACTATTCATGAGCTTAATTGCATAAGTATTAATTGAGTAATCAATAAGAATTAATTTTTTTGTTAGTTCAAATGGAACTCTACTCCATGTATAAAATTCTATACCTATGGGTTTAGTGATTACTTACGATCCATCAAACTTTGCAAAGGCATCATGTTTGATCATTTGATATAAAATGCAAATGCCATTATATTAGTTTGTCCCAAAGTCATTCAAAAATTACGTAGTTTGACTCGACTTCTTTTAGTATTTATTAAAAATGGACTTTCATTTATCATAATAAAATTGTTCATTTTTTATAGATGTTTGTTTCTGAAATATTTATAACAGTAAATCCAATGATCTTAGTCACACAAAGACAAGTTTGTTAGACAATAAATATAAGGTGGGGAAAAGTATTGGCTGGCGGAGTGGGTCGGCCCTCCGGGCTGAACCTATTTTGTCATCTTTAACTGTCAACATTTTATATATCCACATGGTTTGTTAGACAGTAAATATAAGAAGAAAAAATAGTGCCATGTGGAGTGGGTCGGCCCTACGGGCCGAGCCTATTTTGTCATCTCTATTTGTCAACATTTTATATCAGCATGTAATAAATTTTTATATTTATAAAAAAAAAGTTCTTATAGTTGCATCTATATTATTATCTATCTATGTTTTCTATAGTTGTCTCTAAATCGACTTTCTAAAGAGTGTGTATTTGTGACATATATATTTATATATATATAAGATGAAGAGTTAAAAAATATTTGAGTTATTACATTTAATAAACACTTAGCCACACAAAGACGGATTTTTTAAACAGTAAATATGAGAAGAAAAAATATGTTGGCTGACAGGATAAGTCGAGACCAATTTGTCATCTCTAACTATCAATATTTTATATCTGCATATAGGGATAGGTTATTCTACCTATCATTTTTTCTGCATACTTTTGCCTACTACTCTCCAACACCGTTAGATCAGAATCTCAAGAAGAGAGAGAAAGATAAAGGTTAGTTAAGATTCTGATCTAATAGTATTTTAAAGTGGTGGGCAAAAGTAGGCAGAAAAAATGATAGGTAGAATAACCTATCCCCAGCATATAAAAGATTTTTATATTTAAAAATGCAGAAAAATATTTCTACAGTGATTGCAGTTAAGTTATCTGCATTCACTCCCAAAATGACATCGTTCTTTGTTGAAAGATTAAAAATTATAATGATAAATACTGTTATAACCCTGAAATAAATTAAAATTACAAGAATACATTAATTCCTGCCCCAAAATGACGTCGTTTTGGGTTTAATGCAAATAAGTTATCTGCAGTCGTTGTAGTAAAAAAGAACCCTTAAAAATAATAAGTTATACCTTATTTATATTTTAAAGTCACATATAATTTAAAATAATTAAATATAATTATAGGTGTAATTTTACTTTGGTTTTAAGTATATATATTCAATTCTTTGGTTATACTTATTTATAATTTTTATATATTTTTTATGATGAATCAAAGTGATGATGTTGATACAACGTATACTTGATGATTCCACGAAAACATGGTTTTGATGATAACAAAGAGGAATGATTCAAAGACGAAGCAATATCCAAAAAGCAAATGTGAAAGTATGCACCAAGTCTTAAGCATCAATCCAAGTCCAGAATCTCAAATGGTATATTCATTTAGGACTTAGGATAGATATGTAAAGATGTATAGATACAAAGCATTGCATGAGCTCAAGGTCATTCATCAATCATATATTTCAAAAGCATGCATCCTTAAAGGAAAAGTCAAAACAAATGGTTTTATAAGTACAACATTGGTTTGGAAGAGGTACCTACAAAATACAAACTTTTCTAGACAATTTCCATAACCAATAATATACCTTACAAGTCATAGGAACCATTTGAAAAGAAAAGAAACTCAGAATTCGAGCAAAAAGGATGCTGCCATGAAATATCCGGATATTGCACATAGAATATCCGGATATCAAATATCTGGATACTGATATCCGGATATCCAATATCCGGATATGAGCCCGATGAATATCCGGATATGTACGGATTACAACGGCTAAAAACGACTAGTTTTCATAGGAGCTGTCATTATAAATACCCACATCAGCTGGGATGAACAATACACGACTCTATAGCATTTATTGAAGCTTTATTACTCTTGCTAGCCTTTTATTACTCATTAATTACTCATTTTGATCATTGCATACACTTGAGCTCATCTTTCCTTTGAAGTTATACATCTCTTAGTTCTTCAATTTGTTCAATCTGTACTTTGAGAGTATCTAGCCACTTCTAATCACCTCAATATTACTTCTTGATTTGAGAGGGGAGTGAACCCTATATTTGAGAGGTTACCAAATTCCTAAGAAAATTTGGAGTGAAAAAGTGTAAGGCATCAAGAGCCCGAAGTCTTGAAAAGTTGTAGTGGTTTGTCAAGCACCCTCAAGCTTGATAGTTAGTGAAAAGAATTGATCGAGCGGCTTCAGTCTGGACGTAGGTCACGGTGGTAGTGACCGAACCAGGATACATCTAGTTTGCAATTTCTCTAACCTTAATCTCTTTATTTAAGTATTAAAATTGCATCTTAGATTGTCTTTATATATTCGCTTGCTT